TCAGTACAAAGAAAAAAGACAGATTGCAAGGGTACATCCTGCTTCTCCTGAGCTTCACCTCCGTGCAGCTGGTCAGGGAGCTGCTCAGCTGTGCCACATCATGGTGAAATTGGTCCCTTTGTTTTGGGCTTGTTTGCAAGATAATTAACTGAATATGAAGGCTGGCTTTGGCCTGGGTTGAAGGCAAGTTTCTCTCTGCTTGATATTTTGCTGTTTGTCCTGTAGGACACCATGGAAATTATTGCTGGTGTTTTACACCCTGCTACAGGAACAGTTGTGTCTAGAGCTGTGGTTTCAGGTACTGCTCAGCTGGTGGTGGGTTGGGGTCAGTAATATAATTTGACTTTTGGGCTTTAGCACAGTGTAAAACTGCCTTTTCACTGCCTTAGTTTCCCCTAGTGCTGCCTGCAGTTGAAGCTGGGTGTGTTTCTAACTCCTCAGTGTAATTGTGTGTTGTAACAGCAGTCTCAAGTTGGCATCCTAGAACTGGTATCAACAAAATGGGATTCCTTCTGGAATTTGGGCAGAAGCTACAAGAAATGGTCTGACGTTTTCTTCAGAAATACCTAATTTTCCTTTTTCTTCTGCAAAGTTTTCACTTCTTTAGTGCTGTGTCTACTGGCACTGATTTTTTTTTCAGTGTTGGTTATAAAATCCCAAAGCAATAGGAGGTACGCATTTTTCCTTCCCCTGTGTGCTTTATTGGAGATCAGCTTGGGGGAACAACAAACCGCTCTATTGCAAGCACAATCTCCCCATCCACTGCTGAAATGTTATGGGAATACGTGTTGGATGTCGGGTCTTCTTTTACTTTCTATCACAGCCTTGGGTACCAGTGCCTCCATTGTTTCTTCTTTCAGCCCCATGATTCTCCTATATTCTGTGTGCTCCCCTCTCATTGTATAGGAATACATGCAAAAATAAAAATAAAAAGAAAATTAATCAGTGGCTGCAGGTTTAGATCACCATGAGTCAGCTGCAGAAGCCAATGTGTCTCTTTAGCTTCATGCTGCCCTGGTCAGTTGTCTGTGAGAAGGGAAGTGGGTTTGAGGACGCTTAGTGACTCTCTCTTGAAAGCTCAGTGCTCTGTGCAGAAGGAGAGAGCTTTGCCTGTTGTATTTGGAGCAGTGGAAGTGATCAGATTGTACCATCTACTCTGGTTTTGGTTAATATGCATGAAAAGATGTGCTAATCCTATAAGAGTGTCAGATAAAACCAGCACAGACAGTTCCACAGCAGCTTTGCTGACCATGGTGGGGTGAGGTGTGTGCTGGAGGCTGTTACTGTTTGAGGAGCATTCTCTGGAGAGGGCAGGAACTGCTGAAAGGGCTCTCCAGCTGCTTGTGCTGCCCTCAGTGCAGATGTGGGGGTAATTCCCATGTTGGTGCTGGTGTTTCCCACATTTATGGGAGCCACAGGCTTTTCAGAACCAGCAGCCGCCTCTGGTCTGAGCAATACCAGAAACAGGAACCTGTTGAGTTGTGTAGCGCATGCTAGAGCTGTGGAGTGGTAGGTGATAACTTCTGTTCCCGATGAGTTGAAGATGGCCTTCCCAACCCCTCGCCCCCCATGCACATGTGGAAGGGGACTTAGATGTCTGATGCCCCAGGTGGAACAAGCAGTGATGTTAGAGGAGTATGATAGTGCATGTATACAGGTGAATGTGTGTTGCTGTGGGCTCCAACACCTCTTAGCTGGTTTATCCCTAGCTGGAGGTTCAGCATGTGGCATCCATTTGCTGGACTGGTGAAGTCTGTGAAAAACCTGGAAATTAATTTCTGACCAGGCTGAGGCATCATTTGCCATTTAAACTTGTAAATCTGTGTTTATCCAGCGCTAACAGATGTAACATAAATGAGTTCCTGTGCTCTCTGCTGGTTCACTAATGGCACATGTTTATAAGTGCTTTATGTTAACAGCTATTTGATGGTGCCCATTAGTTTTTTCTAGGTTAATGTTATATAAATTATATAAATTATATATATATATATATATAAAAATTATATAATGTTATATAATAAAGCGAATGCTAGCCAAAAGCAATAGTAACATGATAAACAAAAAATCCAAATGCTGGGTGAGAAATGTAATGGAGCGAGGGTTGAACTCTGGTGGGAGTTTGGTTTAATCTCAAGGTTAAAAAGTGTTATAATTTGGGTTTAAGTAAATTGGCTCTTTAGTCCCAGAGGTCTCGCTCTCGTACTTCTTGTGCCTCCAAAGCTTCCGTTAATGCCTATGGGAGTCTTGGGCGCACAAGAAATGTGGGTTCAGGTACTGAAGTTACAGACTGGCTTGGACCAAAACCCCTAATCCAAATACCTCCAGCTTTTGAAAGCATTTGCCAATTGGATCTGAAACTGGACACAAACACTGTGGCTTGAGCTCATCTGAGCTCACATCTGTGTAAATCTGTAGTATGGCCCTGATCCAGCAAAGCATGTAAATATGTGCTTAATTTGACTTCAAGGGGACTATTGTGAGCTTAAAGCTAAGCACGCATTTAAGTGCTTTGCTGGACTGAAGTCCAAATACATGGGAGTCAATGAAAAGACACCAAATATTGCAGTGTGAGATAGGAAATGAACCAAAATGTTTGTGTTTCTACCTGGAAATTAACACCCTGTTCGTATCCTATGTATCCTGCATGAACTTTGTATTTTCATCCATCTGCACATAATGTATTCTTTACGGTAACCTGTCCATTCAATACAGTAAAAAAGAAATATACTTTGAATTTTCCTGCTCTATTACTCGTATTTCATGAAATGTGTTCTTATGCCAAGTGTCTGTTTATATATATTTATGCATGTTGGTTTTTTATTGATATTGGCAAGATACAAGAAAAGAAATATTTTTATGGTTAAAAGCTTGTAAACAGTTTTATCTGTCACTTAAAACATTCTTTTTTTCCCCAAGAATTTACCTGACATGGTCAAATTGCTTCAACTTATTTTCAGTTTTGCCAGTCTGACTATTATGAAAAATATTTGTTAAAGATACAGGTTTGTTTTTAGCTGCAGATACATGTTGAACATGTTTGCGGTGAAGTGACATCTGAATGTGCCTTTACACTTAACTGCTAAATGCTACTTTTGCATTTTAAATCCCACATTTAGTGATTGCCACGCTACATAAAGCTGTCACTGATTTTTTGCATGTGAATACATTAATACTTGTTAAAAAATTGTGTATTGCTTGTTGACTGCTGCAGCTCGTTGCGAGGAGAACACAGGAGAGTTAATTGAGCCCAGCCCTGTAAAGGTGGCAGAGGCATAGATGAGAACTGGGAATTAAACCCAAAACAAATACAAGAAGAAGTAGCACTCGTGCATGTGTATGATGACCACAATGCAGACATAAAGAAGTGTAATCTGCAAATGTCTGTAGGTTATTAATGAGGTAATAGAAGTGAAATTAGGTATCAGCAGGGTTTGGCTCTGTTTGAATAAAACTGAAATCATTTATCTCAAAATGCTCTAAGAAAGACTCATAAACTGTGATTTGGTGGTCTAGGCTGTACCCTTCTTGGTTATGGGAATTGACTCATGCCATTTAAACTCACCAGTGTTTTCCACTTAGGGCAACCAGATGTGGGATCAGATGTAGGGGATGGCTGGCTGGGAAAAGGGAAAAGGTTTGCGTGGCAGTTTATGAAGAAAAAATGCTTTTCTGTGCTTACTTCTGAATAAAAAGAATATTTTGGACCTCAGCTTCGTGCATCTGGAAAACTTCAAAGGCAAGTATATTGCTCTGTCTAAGAGGCACCAATTATGTAAACCGAGGGCCACTCAGAATGCTCCGTAATTATTTATTTTCAACGAAAGAGGTTTTAACCCAAACTAGACAGAAAACTGGCATTTCTCCAGTTATTAAATTCTGTTGAAAAAGGTATTAAACAATGGGCTGGGTAACATGGTAGATTAGTGCCCCTTCATCTTTCTGACCTGGGCATGTGTCAGAGCTGTACTGAGCTGACCAGAATTACTTTGATTTGATGGCCATTAAAGGTCAGAAGCAGAATGGGATCAGACGTCTCTGTTGAGGCTGAAGTACACAGCATTATATATTGATAGTAATTAAGTTGTTTCATTTAATAAGCATCATCAGATTTAAAGGCATTGTTACAGTACTGGGGCTGGGAGGAGGGGAAAGGCAGCCGGAATATGGGCTGTGGGGGAGAGGGAGAGAGAAAGGGTTCTGGAATGAGTGAAATACGTCCCTGGAGTAATTTTTTATTTTATAAACTGAATGCAAACCTGATGGAGAACTATGGAAATGAGCAGTCATGCTGGATACATACACACACTCTCAATATTCCTATACTGTGGGTAATGAAAAGTGCCTTCAGGGATAGGGTGGCCTTACCATTCATCAGTGCCATAGCCTTAAGTGGGTAATAACTAAGAGCTCCCATATCTAGTGTGTATATAAATTCTAGCTCCTCAGTATATTTGCTGCAGACTGTATTTAATTTATACAATTCCTTAGCTTTAAAGCTGTCAATTGATAACATTCAATCTGTGAGCCTGATTGATAAAAAGGAAGAGAAGTGCTCTCTAGTGGCTAGAGGAGGAGAAGGGTGTGGGGGCAAAAGATCCATGTGGGGAGCAGGGTCGTGTTTCACCTGGGCTTTGTTTCAAGGCCAAATGAACCCCCTTTGCTGTTCTCTTTATCTCTTTGGAACACAAGCTAGTCCCTCTGCTCGGCAGATGCTGTGCGTATATACGGTCAGCAGACAACCACCTGCCATGAGGATGGAGGTATCTTTGCTGCTTTCAGTGGTGATGGGAATGACTTCCCTCTGTGCCTCTGACCCTTGCGAGTTTGCGAGATGCCGAGAGTGGTGTTTTCCTCACATCTGTATTCCAGAGATACATGTAGGATCTATCACTGTGTT